AGGCGAAAGCCTCGGCCCGGCGCGCCGGAGCCGGGCACAGGGCGGGCAGGAGCCCCGGGCCCGGCTGCGGGTCCAGGTCCTGCCTGGAAGCCCTCGCCCCCCGCAGCGGCTCAGCCAGCGCCGGACCTCGGAAATCAAATGGCTTCTATGGTCCCGTCTGGACAGTATCGCTGGAGCACCCACACCCGTAGATATCTGACACCCTAGTACCTGTCTCATAAAATAAAAGACGTTTTGGAGTGGTTTCTATAGCCCGCTGCCATCTCTTTTTGTAGAAGTTGGTATGTGTCGCTATTTAGCTCAAACTTGTTTCAGCAGAAAAAAGGACTTTCCTTTTTCACACTATGAAAAGCCACCTCGCTAATTGCCCACACGCTCTGCAAAGCTATATTAGGCACAGACAAGAAAACTTTCTCGCATAGCACCAAGAAATAATTATTGGAGCTCGGAGCAGCTTTTCAGTTTCTGGTGAATATTTGCTAGCAGACAATTTGTAGTTTGCCAGAGAACTAAACTGATGTAGTTATTCAGACAAAGAGATACTGAAGTAAAAGTCTACACCTGAATCCAGTTAACTGAAAATAGCCTTTGAACGGTAGAACAGTTCATTCAGACTGGTTGGTGAGAGCCTTGTAGAAGAGCTCTCTGCTAACCACTTGATCTGGAGTGAACTCGACTTCCGTCTGATCAAAAGATAGATTTAAAATATCCTTATGTTTGGGCTCAAGGTGTATTACTGCAAAATATCATTCAGGAACCAGACAGATAATGAAGTTTTTCCTTTCGAAGTTCTAAGGACAAAGGCAAAATTCACATCACACCTCATAACTGAGGATTATTATTAATAGGTAATACCAGTATCTTCATGAAATGCTGGAAAAATAAACTGAACTGCAGCAGGAGTTTGGTAGGAACATAAAGTACAGCATTTTCCTCTAAAACAAAAAAGGCAATTTCATAACACTTACCTAAATACTACCTAAAAAAAAAAAAAGTGTAACAAAATAGCAACAACCAGAGCCATTAATGTTACATGCAAATAATTTTTACTCACCGGTATAAAGGACTTGCAGCTTGCTTTCTAATAACTTTCTCTCTAATTTCTTCAGTTAGTAGAGTAAATCCGGGCATTTCCAAGATTGTCGATACACTCTCATAACACCTGGAGCAAAAATTAGGCCCATGTGACTCTACTGCATGCAGGACACACCTGAAGGCACTGAGATTTAATGTATGGCATATCACAGCTGCAGTAGTTTTAAGCTCGGACAGAATACTTCATTAAAAGCCTGCTGAACTGAACTTTAGAAGTAGATGCCCATTTATGAATTGTATGTGCTCACAGAGGCACCTACTACAAAAGGGCTGGAATACATGTAAATATTCAGTCAAAAAAGAAAAGAAAAATCCCTGAGTTTCTTCGAATATACCATCAGGCTGATGTTCTTAGAAAAAGTTTGCATGTACTGTAAGTAAGGACAGCCTGCTTTATGCTGGTTTTGCATAGGAAGTTTCACATTGTTTCTATAGCAGTATATAAAGCACTTCAACCTTTTCCTTACTCCTCTGGGCTTTCTTGTTTATGCTGCTTCCAAATATTTAAAAAAGAAAGTTTTTAGTAGCACTCTGCAGTTGTCACCTGCTTTCCTCCCCATCCCTTAATACTATGACAGACCAGAATCGATATGCCACTGTACTTCAGTACAATATGTTGTCCCATTCCTCCATGTATGTTGTGTTTGGATTTTTTTAAATGCAGACTTAGCTTTTTTGTAGCGTTAGTTTATCTTACCTTCCCTAGCTACGCTACCAGCAGCCTTCTCAACTGCCAGATGAACTTCCTTCTGCCTATCCACAACAGTCACAAAACGGAGTGCTGAAGTTGCTTTTTATCCCTAGGCTGTAAAGTGGGTTTGCTCATGTTTCCAAACACCTCCTTGTTTGGCACCTGGGTGTGCTGCATGTGCCTTTCTACTACTACTGCTGCTAACATTAATATTACTCCAGTCCTATTCTCATTAGGAATGAGAAAGAAAAAGAAAAAAAGAAGCCCAGAACGAGTGTATTAAAATCACATGAGCAAGCTATGCTTGCAAAGCCTTTGTTGCTTCCTAACCCCAAGCAGAAAAGAAGATTTTGAGTAGGAAAATGTAGTCTAATGACTATAAATTTTTGTGTTTTCATAAAAAATTTACTGAGGCAAAGTAACAAGCTAAGGATACAATGTCAGTCCCTAGTGAATACACGACCATTAATCTAATTTGAAAACAGCTGTTTCCCAGATTTTCTCTTCCAGTTTATTTCCAGTTTGGACCTATGCAAAAAACCAAGTTTGTTCAAACCACAACCACAAGCATATCAACCAGCTTAATTCAGAGATAATTCAACTCATTAAAATTCAATCAGTTCTGTAGTAGGTCAGCAATTCCAATTGGCTGTACGAGCTGGATTAAACTGCTGTCTTTCTCTTCCGTGCAATTTTCAGAATTACCCAAACACCTGCTCCTGTCAAGGCCCTTTGCTTCCATAGCCAGATGACTACAGCAGCAAGGATAACTGAAATTACAAACATCATACTTACTTACACCATTAACAACAGATGCAAGTCATGCATATCACAACATGATTTTACTTTACCGTGGTTCACACTACAGTTTTCTCTAATTCACTGCCCATCTTGACATCAAGACTGAGAAATTCCTTCTAGGCAATCTGCAGAACTGTCCATTTTCTATACCAACAGGATGAATGCTGTAGGGGGCAGAGTTAACTCAGGCCAACGTGAAGAAAATAAACAGGATACAAGTGGAAACATGTAGGTAGGGCTATGATTTTTTTTTTTTTAAAGACAGCTTCTTTTTCTTCCAAAACTCTTGTCCAGACAAGTTTTAAAAGAGCTGCTCCCTGTGCTTCAGCTTTCTAAACACTTTTTTTTTTTATTAAGGGGTTCTAGCAATACAGCACATATACAAGAACATTAGACCTTTTATCAACAAATGGCATATACCTAGAAATATAAAAACTCCTATAGCAAAACTTTGTCATGGCTGGATAGCTGGGGTTGTTCAGCCTGGAGAAAAGGAGGCTGAGGGGAGACCTCATCGCTCTCTACAACTACCTGAAAGGAGGTTGTAGCGAGGTGGGTGTCGGTCTCTTCTCCCAAGTAACAAGCGATAGGACGAGAGGAAATGGCCTCAAGTTGCGCCAGGGGAGGTTTAGATTGGACGTGAGGGAAAATTTCTTTACTGAAAGAGTGGTTAAACATTGGAACAGGCTGCCCAGGGAAGTGGTGGAGTCCCCATCCCTGGAGGTATTTAAAAGACGAGTAGATGAGGCACTTAGGGACATGGTTTAGTGGACATGGTGGTGTTGGGTCAATGGTTGGACTCGATGATCTTAAACGTCTTTTCCAACCTCAATGATTCTATGATTCTAGCTAATATACATGCATGCACCTGTAATAGATTCAAGGCCTCCTTACAAAGTACTAATTTATGCTGCAGAGCTGGACCGCACACAAGCCCTGGCCCACTTCTTAGAATTTACTACACCTGACCAAGCCAGCAGACAGCAATTGCCTGCAGGCTTCAGCTGGTGTCCAGTCAGAGGGCTGTGACTGTCACCAGCTTCAATAGCAGTACTGCGCCTGGCAGCCAGGCAGGAAGGCAACTGCCACCTTCTTACCCAGCTCAGCTGAACTTGCTTTCTCATCTAGCAATTGCCAAGACTCAGCTGGGGAGATCTTTGTAACCTCCCAATAACACTGGCACGTCCCAGATTAGATTACCAGACTTTCAAACAATTTGAGAATTACCAAACCACCAGCTCCTGCCTAGCCACCCAAATTCTAGCAGCCTACAAAGAAAAAAACCCATTGCAGTGGTCTGTTTCCTCTATGCTGACAGGCTTGCTATGCCTGTCTCCCAGCCTATCTGCTCCTGCCTCCTGGAAGCAGCTGCCAATCACTGAAACACGGGTTTGCTATAGGGGAGGACCAGAGAGGAAAAAAAAAAAGAGCTTTTTCCCTATAGTGCGATCTA